TGCTCCCTGCTTGGCTTCTGTTCAGAATAGCAGAAAAAACAAAAAAATCACTGTTAAAAACATGAAGATTAAGTCAAAAATAGCAGCTTCTCTGCTCAGATGATCCATGTTCCAGGTGGTTTTGTTGAATCATTCTGCCCAGACTGGGTTTTTGACAATGCTGACCACTGCCTGCGCTAGAGTAAAAATGCGAACAAAATGTACCCTTTGTTAAGACTGATTAAAACGCTGTTTTAAAATGTTCATATTTTAACCTTGGACTTAATTACAAGAATATATCTGTCAAATGTTTTCAAAGAAGGACAGCGGTCGACTTGAAATTAGGAAGGGCCTCCCTCCATTTTATAACCGCCCTCCTAAAAATAAAACCGTCGTAATTCAACTCACTCACTCGCTGAGTGTAAACACGATGGCGTGCTGTTTTTTTGTTTTTGTTGTTTTTTTTTTTTTGTTGATTGGAATTTTGCGCTGGTCACGTAACCTCGCCCTTCCACTTGACTTCAACAGGTGTTCCTGCTGCCTGTTCTCTGCTGGCCAAAAAGCTCTTTACGTAACAAGTATCTGGCTGAGGGTAACTCAAAATGTACGAAATGTAATAAGACGAAAGAAAGAAAAACTTTATTCACTTTTTTCGCGATTTCGATTTCGTGAATTGTACATTACTAACTCCTGAAATTTAATTTTCAACTATTGGAATCAACTACAATTTTCACACTTGAAACTATTTGTTTGTCAGTGACGTCATCTCAGCAGCTTCATAATTGAAACTAGTTAACTCAGAAAACAATAAAAGACAAATTAAAGAAATTTTTTAATTCAAATTTAAATGTCCTGAAATGACCCCAAACAACAAGCGCAGCGTTGGTTTCCAAATGTTTCATTTTGCCCGACATGGCTCTGTGTTCCTTCTGAACTGTGCCCACGGCACCAATCTGTGTGTGGCCTTCTAAGTTATGGGAACTCATTCAGTGTAATGTATCTGTTTTTCTACCACTCAGATGCTAACGGCCCCCCTGCTGCTCATGTTACTACATCACTGCTCACCAACACTCTTGCAGCGCTCCGTCAGATCGCTGTGATGAATGTTATGTTGCACAGGTTGTTTTTAACTTTATGATCATCGTGTTACTCCTTCTCCTCAGACGTGCAGTCATGTACGGGAGGAGTCGGGAGGCGCCAGACGGAGTCCGCAACACAACTTCCTGTGTCATTACGATTGCAGTGCTTACTTCATAGTCCCACAGGAATGAAATTAGCGAGCTGTTAAGACTCTGGCCGCTGTCGCTGCTCCATGTGGCAAACGTTTGGAGATCAAGTGTACGGAGATGTACGGAGCGTCGAGGCTCCAGCTGTCAGCTATCAGGGAAAATATAAGGATTATTTTCCATCATCAATATTAGAGCTGCCTTACAAAATGATTCTGTTTGTGACATGTGGTGAAACGGAAGCCAAGACTATCTATTCCAACGCAGAGAGCGGTGTATTGATTACTACCTAGAACTTTTACCCCAACATCCTATCATTGGAAAGTTCACCAGAGGACAGTGTTTCACACAAAGCAGCCGATATTATTAGGGATGTCCGATACTAACTTTTTTGCCGATATCCAATATGCCGATATTATCCAAATAGTTAATTTCCTTCTGATAACAACCATTAGCGATATATGCAGCTGTTTTTCCCCAAAACTGCAATAAACGTCTCCGGATCCCTCAAGCGATTGCGACATATTTGCCAAAATCCAAGCACCGCGGGTCTTCATAATCAGAGGAAAAACCGATAACGATTCTTACAGACATTACAAAATTATGCTAATATCGGGCCGATAATATCTGTCGGATATTATATGTATATAGACTAATAACTCTTTCCTGGCTAACTTGTGGTTTTGACCAATTTTAACATATTTTTTTAACTAACTTGTCAATGGCCTAACAGCATATATTTGGCTATTTACTTGGTCTTCTCCAGCAGCTGTTCCCAAACCTTTCCATGCTAACGCCCCCTAACAACATTAGCTTCTAACAGTGGCCCCCCTTTACAAACCCTCAAGCAATGCTACAAAATTCATAACAAACATCAACTCTTAGTATCTATTTTCTTACTTTGATTTACTACTCAATAATTATAACGTTTGTTTAGCATAGAAAATGTTACAACAAAAATCGTGAGGCCTACACAAATTGTAATGTCCTCTGTCACACAAGTGCATTCAGGTACTGTTGAAAACTTAATAGTAATTAATTGTAACGTAATTTTCTAAGGCCTCCCTAGTGCCCCCAGTGGCCCCAACTTTGATAACCACTGCTTTATATCAGCTTTTATTCTGTTTTAAAAACTACTATTACTAAGTGGTTTGTGGTTCTCGTTACAATTGGTGCCATAATATCTGGTTTAAATAGACACCCAATTTGTACTAGCACTAATATATGACATTGCCTTTGGTCGCAACCTGTTCAAAGACAACCATGTACCTTGGCTGATCACTCACGTTACAACATCCATGCACTACCATCTCTTCCCCTCACCTCCACCCTCACAACCTCTGTTGTTTACCTGCTGCAACTCTCCGTGTATACGGTAGTACGACACGCTCAGTCACATGATCTCTGCTGGTCTTTTGGTGAAAAAGTTCAGTGAGTGACACCTCATTAACCTGCGATCGCCCTTTGGCGGCTGACGCTTCAAAGTATCTGTTTCCTGTACACCACGTGGACGATCACGGTGGCCTCAGAATAACTCCGGGAAGGTCACGCTGCTGAGTGAAGGCACACTTATTGAACACACACACACACACGTATAACTTATTTATGATATGCTTGCACATAAATGAAGACAACAGGATGCTGGTGGTGTGGCCCAGCCCTGCCCTGCCCCTGGAGGTGAGTCCCTGGGGGTTAGTTTGACCTTGTTCCAGAGCTTGAGTGCATTCACGGGGAGGCAAAAGTCCCCGATTTGAATGTGGGAGAGAAAGTAACTCAAGCCGTCGTGTCTTATCCTAAAATGGAAGCCGATAAACAGCAAATCAGAGAAGATTGCCAGAAGCAACTGGTGAAAAGAAGTCAGACCAGAAATACTGAAGAATCAATCCATTTTCAAAATAAAACATCTTTTCTGACTTTATTTTGTTAGCATCAGAGTCTGAATGAGTTATTGTTTTGAAACATTGACGGATTTTCTTTGAATGAAAAAAGTAAAGGGATATGACTGGATTCTTTTAGAATGAAGTAAATTAGTAAAACTGAAGTACATTTTTTTTCACTGCGTCCCACAGTGGTCCGGTACCAAATGACTTACGGACCGACACTGGTCCCCGGACCGGAGGTTGGGAACCCCTGGGTTTAAAGTTAGCAATAAAATCCAGGTATATTTTGTTTTAATTGAAATCAGTGAGTCTCTTCTTCATCCAAACGGGTGTATGTGTGAAGCGCTTGAATGTGCAGTGACAGAGTCTCCTGTCTGTTCACTACAACATGCTTCAAATGTGTGAATGAGTGACAGTTATTATCTGCATCTGTGGAACTTTAAGTTGATACTTTTCATGAGCATATGTATTACAAATTCCGGGAATATCTAGCTGTGTGTGAGAGTGTGTCAGTCTGTCAGTCTCTGTGTGTGTGTGTGTGTCGACATGGTCTTAATATAGCTACACTTGTAGGGACATTTGGTCAAATGTTTTTTTTCTGGGGGTTTGAGGTTAGGCATACATTCGTAATGGTTAAGGCAAGAGTAAGAGGTTAAGGAATGCAGTACTTCCACGAGAAGTACTCACAACTGGGAATGGCAGAGCACAGAGCAGAAGCCCCCTGCCCCCTAGTGGGAACGCAATGTAATAGACGGCCAAGCGGACTCACATAAACACTCAAACACACATATACACACGCAGAGTTGTCATAAAGGTTATATGTATTTCAGTTATAGTTTGATAAATAAACATTTTTCATGTTAGCCTCTTTTGAAGGCTAACCTTTAAGGGGGATTTCAGTGCTTGCAAATGACAAGATTAGTTCAACGATTCAGTTTGTGTGTGTGTGTGCACGCAGTGTGTGCACGTGTGCACACGTGCATGTGTGCGCACTCTGCAGGGGCAGTTTGTAATCAGCTGTCAAATATTGTGGCTCTGAGTGTGCAGCCCTCAGGACAGCACTGACAGCTTAGCAGTCGTAGCAGAAGTGCAGAAGGTCGGCCGAACAGGACAGACAGTACTTCTTGACTTTTAGCTCCGTTTGGTCAGTTGCTGCCATGTGGGCGTAAGTGCAAGTCTTTGAGCGTTGGCTGTTGCAAAAACTCTCCTGACTGATCTGGGAACGGACTAGAAAATCAAAGGTAAGACATGAGAGCAGTCCACTGTAGAACGGATGCTGGTTCAACTGAAGAAAAGATGAATACATTTCGCAACTTTGATACTGTATACAATAGAGTTTAGTATTGCAGTATATTACTCCGCAAAATACACAGTTGTATTGCTTAAAATCTTAAAAGTTGATGGCTTGTTTTGTTTGTTTACATTGTTTGTTTTTCATAACTTTTTTTCTTAGCCATCATACATTTTATATTCTTCAGGGGGAATCGGTCAAAGTCACTGCAAGTTTGTATTTCTGGACGATTATATTGTATATGTACATACAACCTTTTATGAAAATAGAACAATATAAAGCATTTGTAACAAATTTTACAATTTGTAAAAGAAAAAGAAATTCCGTTGATGCACTAAAGAAAACTGATCAAATGAGCTTGTGTAGTCATGCCTAATATATATCGCAAAAAAAGATTTTCAAAATATGGGTACGTAAATAATAATATATAATATCGTATACTTAAAATCCCTGTGGTACCGATGGTTAACTTTGGACCTGTTCTGTGTCGGTGGATGGAGATGATCGAGCTGGGCCTTGTTGACGGCAGCCTGATCGATGAGCTGATGGAGCTGACGGCTCAGAGCCTCAATCACCTGGAGATCCAGGAACACTTCAATGTGGTGAAGGAGATCGGCAGGGGGAAGTACGGCAAGGTGCTCCTGGTGACACACCGTTTTAGGGGTATGACTGCAATTTCTCTGTCTGAGAAAACACTGCTGGGAAATGACTCTCATGTTTTGCCCCAAAATTGTACCGCTAATTTTCTTAATGGTACTTTGTTCCTCACAGTAAGTGGGGAGATAGATATTTGTGATTCTTATACATTCCTACAAGCTAGTGACTGTGTGAGCTAAGAGTGCTAAGTATGGCTGATCCTCAGGGACTCCCATGGCCTTGAAAGTGATGCCCAAGGCCTCGACTAAGCTGCAGGGCTTTCTGCGAGAATACTGCATCTCCTTACATCTGTCCCACCATCCCTGCATCGTGGGCCTCTTTGGCATTGCCTTTCAGTCGGATGAGCACTACTGCTTTGCCCAAGAGCTGGTCATCGGCAGGGACCTGTTTGCTGTCATACGACCCAAGGTGAGTCAATGACAAGATTTGTAGACTAAAACCAAACTAAAAAAAAAATGCATCCACATCTTCTTTAACATCATCATGACTATGGAAAGTATCAATGTTATGCAAAAAATGTAGTACAGTGGTCCCTCGTTTATCGCGGTAGATAGCGTCCAAGGCCTGCCGCGAAAGTAATGACGCCATATTTATGCACAGTAAAATGATGACGACTTTTACCGCGCAGCCGATGGTTGATTTTGAAATGTATTCTCAATAGCAAATCACTAAAGATGCAGTTTCCCAGATTCGAGACAATGTACAGTCTTTGACCGTCCAATCAAATCACTCAAAACCACCATCGTAACTGTTGGCCTGCTAGGAGGCCTTGGAATTGCCAGCCATAAATCTCCAAATTCTGTATTTTGAAAAATAAGTCACTGATTCTGAT